AGTAGTAATTTCATTTTTCTCTAAGAGTAAAATTTATAATCAGGAAAGCAACAATATTTTTAAGTGTTCATACATAAGAAAATGCATTAGTCATGCCCATGATTCTTCTCCTTTATGTATTCTAAATAAAAGATATTTCACAATTATGAAAACAGACATTATAAACATATTGTGTTTTTATAGCTGAGATGTAGAATTCAAGGAAAGGACAAGCTTTAGATTCTAAGTTACATTACATTACATTGGCTGTTTAATACTGTATAGATAGGGTGATATTTCAGTTGGGTTCTCTTTTTGAAATTGAATTTTATGTACTTGAACCTTTTGTTCCATACAGATGAGCTTAGTTGACAGGGATAGAAAAGCAGTAGCTGCTCATACATCACCCATGGGTGATGGCTATGTCACTGGATTAGAAGGAAACCAGACCCTACCTCAGCTGAGAATAAACATTGTTCTTAAACCACAATTTAATACAGCAGAAGTCAGTTTAGTTTGCTGTACTTCAGTTAGAGTTATATTTTAAATTTTATAATATAACAACTTTGTATTCTACTATAATTGGCAACGTTATTTCAATCTCAAAGATTAGGTTAGTTCTACTTTTTTTAGTTGTTGTTTTCCTTCACTTTCTTTAGTGATAACTAGAATTTAATAAGCCTTTATTTTTGTTTGTAATTGTGTTAGGTATATGCATTTTAGCTTTATAATAATTCTGTGAGGAATGACAGTAACTCAGAAAACTTAGCCTTAGGAGGTTTAGTAACATGACCAAGGTATCACAGCTGATAAAAAGTAGAACAAAAGCTATTAGTTTTCTCAATACTGACCTTAATTTCTATTGTGTTTTTGCATACCAGTATAATTTTTTTCCTCTAAGTTTTTAATCTTTATGTGTTTTCTGATAAGAAATTTAAAACTTTGTGTATTCTGGATTTAWACCCTTTTTACATTGTGCTATAGTCTTTACTTTAAAGTAGAAGCCACCCTTACAATAGAAAAGTCACACAGAAATTTTGGGAGTGTTGGTCAGACTCTGAATTTCAGAATCCACATGCTTTTTGCAGCTTGCTGCAGTGAATTATCATGTGCTCCTGGAAATGGCTGCTGCCATGCTGTTCTAATTCTTTGCAAAATTCACACTTGGCTTACTGGTTTTAAATTCTGAAGTCCCAACCTCAGATAGTTCCTATATGTTACAGAGTGTTCATATTTTAATTTTGCAGATAATGAAAAGATGTCTCTTGTTCCTTTATAGCATCAGTATAAAAGGTTAGAACATGTTTGGAACACTGGCATGGATTTCCTATGGTGTCACATCTGCAAGGGTTTTAGTAGTGTGTCACACTTCAAAGATGACATTGGCTCTTCTAGATTTTGTTGTTGGTTTTACTGAATTCATCCTCACTGATGGTATATTATTATAGAATAAACTGTACTCATATCTACAGTCCTATTATGCTGCAATCCTATTCTTAATATTCCACACATGTATTGTCATTTGAAGTCAAATTGACAAAAGGAAGTATAAATGAAATCTGTCTTGAGATGGTACTATTTATTAGCAGTAGTCTTTATTTTAAATGTATCATTTTATGGCCTTGTAAATTGATACAGTGGTTACAGAAAACAAATCAGCAGTTCACATCAAGAGCCATAAAATTTTCCTACATTTTAATCTAGCAATTTTGGCAACAAGTGTTTTAGTATAACCCTCTAGCCTGAACCAGAAAAATGCAGTAAAATTTTAGAGACTATCTGTTACTTGTTTCGTTTTCTTATTTTCTTTGTACTCATTTATTTTCATGGATACATTTATTTGTATGGACATAATTTATATTTTCCAAAATAATGTGCAGTTTACAAAGAACTGCAGACAAAATTAGTTTGTGCCTATCACATCATCTTATTTAATCAGAGATTTAAATATAAAATATCGGAGCTAGCAATTATTAGTATTTATCATATATCAGGTACTGAATTCTATATGTTTTTAAAATATAAATATAAAATTATTTAATCCTAAATACTAATTGGTAGAAAATATGGTGCCTATGTATAAGAAAAAAAATGAAGCCCAGAGAATTTAAAATTATCCGGCTGGGGTGGCTCAGCTGTAGAACGCTCACCTCACATGTGTGAGACCCTGAGCACCACATAAAATAATCGATTCTCAGCACCACATAAAAATAAATGAATAAAAAGGTATTGTGTCCAACTACAACAAAAAATAAATATAAAAGAATTTAAAATTATCTACCCCATATTAAAAAGGCAGAAGTGAGATTAAATCACAGGTATTCTGGCTTCTGAAATTGGAAGTATTTTCTGTATTGTGTAAATAAATATTTAAGAAAATTTTTGTACTTTTATGCATTTACTTATTTATTGCTATAGCTGATGATGACTAAACATATATAAAGGACTTTAAAAGCAGATTAAGAAAATTGCAGTGATATATAACATTTATTAGAAATTCCATTTATTCTGACAAAATCTAAATAAAAAACTTTAAGAACAAATGAGATACTGTTTATTTTTTATTCCAACTAAAAAACCATGTAAGAAAAATGTATTTCCCCAACACTATAAATCTCAGATAAAATTTCAGGAGAGGTATAAGAATTAATAGCTAGGAAAGAAGTAAAACATGACACTATTTGTAATTATTTTAAATCAAAGCATGTAATAATTTTTAAATACTTAGAAATACCAATACATTTCTACATGGCAATTTAGAGTTGAAAGTTTAGTACAGCAGAGGTATCCTTGCTTTTTATTCTGGTGGAATTCCAAGTCACGTCAGAGGTGAAAATGCCCTCAGAAGTGCTTGTCAAAATAAAATCCTCATTTGACCTCTCCTTGGGTCACTGGCATATTTATAGCTGACAAAACAATTTTTTAAAAAAGGGTAGAGTGAAAAATTTTTATAGTAAATGTTTCTTTTTGTGACATTGACTTTTATACCCTCAAGTGCTGTGTTTTCTTAAGAGTTTTATTAGAGTCCATTTGTTCTGTTATGAGAAGAAATACAGAATCTTCCTTTAAGAAGACTTATTGTTGATCAGTAAAGTATTATGTTGAATATAGATTTAATTTATAAAATGAATTAACAGTAAATCTCTCATGTTGTTAAAAGGAACACTTCAGTATTTCAAAGTTCAGGTGACTTTCAAGATCTAAAATTTGAGCAAGTTTACTTTAATAGTTATTTCATTTTGTTTGGATTATTCTTGAATGGGAAAGGTAGAAGTAATGAGAAATGTTAGAATGATGTCTCTGTTAATTTTATATGCTGGGTTCTTTTGCATTCCTTCTCTTTACTCATTTTGATGCCCTCATTAATACAATTTATTTATAAAATATCATTTTTATAAACATTTGAAGGGCAGGGATCTGTTCTCTACTTCTAGTCTCATTAATATTGTTTTATGCCCCTTTTTCTCAACATCATCTATCTCTGTTTATAATCATGATTGTGACTATTTGATTAAATTCTTTTCCTTTGCCTCCAGATTGTAAGCTCTATGAGAGCAAAGTTCTCTGTCTTGAACAATCATCATAGTTTCTGCGACAAATAAGGTTCTTAGTAAATATTTGTTGGAGTTACTAAGGGTTTCATAATCTTTGCCTTTAAATATATGTAGTATAGCATTTTATTTGTATTGAGTGTTCAGTAATGTTTGCTAAGACAAATTGGAAAAGCATGGTTTATATAAACCATGCTTTTATATATATATATATATATATATATATATATATATACACACACATATATGTATATATGTACATGCATACATAGATATACATACATGTGTATGTGTGTATATGATATATGTGTGTATGTATCTATATGAGATATATGTGTAATATGCGTGTATATATACCTACATGTGTGTACACACACATAACACACACATATTCCTTTTATAGTACTTGGGAATTTTATGAATGTACAAAGATTATATGTGATCTTATACAGTTTATATTCTTTACTCTTCTTTTTAAATTGATAACTCATAATAATATTACCTGTGATTTATTGAGTTCCTCACTTTTTATCAGGCACCAGACTAAGCTCTTAACATCCTTGATGTAATCTAACTTCAGAATAATTCAGTTAGATTTATTTTATTTCATTTCATTTTTTTGATACTGGGAAATTAACCCAGGGATGATTGACCACTGAGCCACATCCCCAGCCCTTTTTAGTTTTTATTTTGAGACAGAGTTTTCTAAGTTGCTTAGGGCTTCAGTAAGTTGCTGAGGCTAGCTTTGAACTTACGATTCTCCTGCCTCAGCCTCCTGAACCACTGGGTTTGTAGGTATATCCAACTGTGCCTGGCTCAATTAGGTTTTAGTATACCCATTTTATGGAGCAAGTGACTGAGACTTAGAAAGGTACATATATGATTATACCACAGTAAATCTCACCATCAAGTATATCCACAAGACACTAATAAAAAAAAACTATAAGAACAGAAAGATCACTTGAGTATAGGGAATGGAATTGGGGGTAGGAGGAAAGGAGGGGAAGGGGACTGATTAGAACAAATTATATTTCATGCTTAGAACAAAGTGTATTCTATTGTCATGTAAAACTAAAAAGAACCAATAAAAAAGAGAAAAGTGAAATAATTGATCTAAAGCCATAAAATTAATAAATAGGGAAGTTAGTATTTAAGATTGTATGACTTTATAGGTATCTTTTCAACCTCTCTATATTACCAACTGGCACATAGCTAGGAAATTCCAGCGTACACATGGAGGATAAGCAAATTGTATGTCAGTGACTATAAAGTGTTATGTAATCAAAATATATAAAAATAATGTTTCCTTAAGTCAAAAAAGAAATAATAAATGTGATTCAAAAATTTTAATTATTTTAATAATTGATTATAAATATAAAGGTAAGTTTGAGGAAGCTTTTTCTTAGTACTTAAGTTGCTCGGTTTACTCTGAATTTGACTTATAACCCTTTCTGTTTATGCTTCTTATAGGTTTGAGTGGCCGTTTCTTTGTCACCACTCTTCCTGCATTTTTTCAGTAAGTAGAAATAATTTTTCTGGTCTTGCAAAGATTATAAATCAGTCAGTATATACCAGGTATTCTGAGGAGTTTTTCATGACTACCACTAGTTTAGCAGAGTGTTTGAGGAGAGGAAAGCCTGCATTGCTCTGAATGATAGATGTCAAAATATCAGGTTGCCTGAAGTGCTGTGGAGAAAGAGAACCTAATATCAGATGGGGAAAAAGGTATAAGTAGGGGTCAGAGATGATTTTCTGACCCCTATATATAGATATAAAGTATGATAACTCTTAATGGGTACGTAGATATGAATTAAACCAACAAGGTGAAGAAAATCTTCCCAGATAAAGGAAATAGCATAAATAAGCTCAGAGAAATGAGACACCTTCTGAGAATTTTAACGGTTTCTGTATGGCTGGTCCACAGGTACGGTTGGATCATGCTGGGTGATGAGACTAGAGAGATTCAGTAGCAGGGGAAAGAGAAAGGAAAAGATGGATTTCAGAGGTTCTTATAGATGAGATTATTGGGGTTTGGTGACTTATTATCCAAGGAAGGAACAGTCTGTGATGACTACCAACAGGTCATTTAAAACTATCATGTAATATTTCTGGCCTACAAAATCAGAAGCCCTTAAAATAAAATGAGACCAGAATGGAGAATATAGTGTTAAGTGCTTATTTTGATTCCAAATGGAGAAGTTCCAGTGGCAGTTTGATGTCAGGATCTAGAACTATGAAGAAAGATTAGACTGGAAATACATGTTGGGGATTCCTTGGGCTTGGGTAATATCAATTGAAATATATGTAGGGAGAGCATATACAATGAGATGTGAAGCAGGTGAAGGCTAGAGCCTGGGGTTGACCAATAGGACATCTGCCAAGGAAGACAGTGATTGAGGAAACTGAGAAGGGATGGTCAGAGTAGTAGGAATTCAGGCTTAAATGAACTGGGAGTGTGGCTCATTAATGGATCAATTACCTAGCATGCACAGGGCCATTGGTTGGATCCCCAGCACTCCCCTCCCCTCAAAAAAAATGTCAAGCTAAGGGAAGAAGGAAGGAGTGTCCAGTAGTCAACAGTGCCAATATCATGTGAAAGAAAAATGTTAGAAAAGTACTCCATTGTCGTGGCATTTACGAGTCATTGGAGAACCCCAGTCAAGTTCAGTGGAGTTGTAGGAGTAGGACCCTCCCTCACAACAGTCTCCCTGAGTGGTGAATGAGTAATGAAGAGAAGAAAATGGTAAATGCAGACACTTGCCCTGGTGAGACTTGACCATGGTAAGAAGGTAAGAGGGAGGGAAGACTGAAGGCGATTGTGAGTTTTTTTTTTTTTTTTTGTTCTTGTGATTCCCAGTGGATGGACTGAATGCCATAAGTTTGGAAATGTGGATACAATATTTTAAATCTGATAATAATGGCTATTTTGCTTTTAGGACAGAAAAATCAAAATAATTCTAGCAAAAGTAATGAAAAATAATTTGGCAAATTAAACACTGTCGAGAACTTTGCTTGAAGTTTCAAAATGTTAAATGCTTTCAGTTTTAGAATTTCTCATGTATAGCCATACTTATTTTGATTTTTATGATCTATAGCCAGTTATATTTTGATTTATTTCTATTCTACTTGTTCTTATAATCTGTAGTGCAAAGGATGGAATATTCCGCCGTTACCGTGGTCCAGGAATCTTCGAAGACCTACAGAATTACATCTTAGAGAAGAAATGGCAGTCAGTTGAACCTCTGACTGGCTGGAAATCTCCAGCTTCTCTAACGTAATTTTTAAATTTTTTAATTATAAAGTATTAAAAACAAAATACTAGGTATCAAGTTACCCTGCTGGAGGGGAGGCTTTCTGTAACCCACAGAAATCTGGCTACTCAGTTCCCAACAGAATAAAAACTACCTGAAATACAGGTGGATCATAAAATCAGGCCCATAATTGGCTCATGGAGGGTTTCTGATTTTATGATCCACTTGTATTTCAGGTAGTTTTTATTCTGTTGGGAACTGAGTAGCCAGATTTCTATGGGTTACAGAAAGCCTCCCCTCCAGCTTTTGCCTATTGACCACTTTCTCTTTATAAAATATCATATTGAATGCCAGTTGTTTTTCTTTCTTTTTCTTTTATATTATTGGTAAGATAGAGGAGCAGTTCTTTCCTGAATTATAGTAATTCAGGAAATAATTTATAAAGGAATAAATTATTTGTTGTGTTTTATGTGAAAATAAAGCGTATGTGGTTTTTAACTGCCTGGCAGAATATTAGTGGCAAAAACTTTTGGCCATGATCATAAACTTTATAATACTTGGCAAGAAAGATAAGGCCAGATCATGATAATTTTTTCCATAGTTGGTTTTAATTTCAAATAGACATATTTATAATTAATTTTATTTTAACATGCAGGCATAATTTCCCTACTAACATAGGAACAAATGGTTTAATATTTCAGGAATAAATCATCTAGTGGCTTCTATATTAATGTTCAAGAAACATATAACTTACCCTAAAAGCAGCTTACCTCTAGCCTTTCTTCTACAAATAATTAAGCCTTAATTTTATGCCAGATGTTTTTTCAGGGTGCTAGGTATTTATCAGTGAATGAGACAGACATGATCCCTCTATTATTTTTAGGTAACTCAAAGTGAGTAAGATTAGAAAAAACTGGGGATATCAAGAGTCATAATCTGGATAAACAAAAATAGCATAGTTGGTTCAGTTCCCAGCACTGCAAAACAAAAACCAACTTACCAAACAAACAAAACTGTACTTTACTAAGATAGGTAGAAACTGAGGGGTTCTGGGCCTATTAATTTAGAAGGGAGGGTTTAGGAGGAATTGCTTGGAGGGAAGAACTTGAAGTGTGAGATCTGATGGAGAAGGACTAGCCCAGGTAAAGAGCAGGGGAAGACTATTCCCAGCAACAAGTATGGCATGAACATAAGCCCCAGTCTGGTAAGCACCTTGATGTACACGTGGAGCAAAGTGGTGACCAGATTGGATCATGGTGCAAGGGAGAAGAGTAACATTAACTTTACAAGTAAGAGGCAGGCTGAAGCTAGATCCTGTAGAGCCTGTGACCCTAGAGTCAAACTTGGAAGTTATCAGTCCATGCAATGAGAAATGAATGAATGATCAGAGTCTAGTTAGAAGTATTTCATAGTGTCCATCTTTTGAGATGATAGCTTGTAGGAGAGTGACAGTGGTGGAGAAGGAGAAATGAATGGATTTAAAGTATGTTTTGAAGGTAGACTTGGCCAAGGTGAAAAGAGGGAGAATTCACAAGTGAAAACTGGGTTTCACATTTGAGTAGCAGATGAATCTTTGTATTACTTACTTATTTAGGCAAGAGAAGATCAATGACTCTGTGTTGGACTTATTGAATTTGAGATGTAGACTTTGTAGAGCTGTTAAATTGGTTACATGGAAATGGGTCTCCATGATTTCAGGAACACAAATAGAGGTGTCCATCTAGGACACGCCTACATGGTGTTTAAAGAAGGGGAAAAAAAAAACACCTAGAAAGAAATAGGATTGCTTAGTATTGATCCCGGAACTATTTCCAAATTAAGATTTTGCATAGAGAATAAGTCAGCAAAAGAAAACTCAAAATGAATACAGAGAGGCAGGAAGAAAAACGGAGTGTACCATTTTCCAGATAACAGGTACTCAAGAAGGAAGGAGTAGTTACTTGTGTTCCTGTTACCAAGAGATTAAGGAAGATCAAATGGTGACATGGACATAGAAGTGAGATCATGTAATATTAACTTTACAAGTAAGAGCCAGGTTTGAATGTTAAGATATGATACGGAAGAAATAGTGAGCACTATTCTTTGGAAAAATTCATCTGTGAAACTGAAGGAACACTTGAGGTCCAGGGTTGCTCTTTTTAAAAGATGGGAGGAAATATATATGCATGCTGAGGAGAGATGTCCTGCAGAGATGGAGTAACACTGGAAGAAGGGATTATGGAAAGAATCAAGTCATTAATAGGACAAAGTGAAAAGAACTAAGGTACAAGAGTAATTGGACCATAGTAGGGAAGATAGAATTTCTTGTTGAAATGATAAGGTAGATGCAGGTATACACCAGACTTAGATTTGGTGGTAGAAAGATAAGAGAGATCACATAATGGCTTCTGATTTCAAGGTGTTTGTTAGCAATGAGTATTTTAGGAGTGGGGATACATGTAAGGTTTAAAGAGAGGGAAGAGGAAATGAGCTATTATCCCAGAGTCTTTAAAAAATGCTCTAAGAATAGGTAGAACTGAGTATTCACTTAGGCTGGGGTTCATCTGTACATGTAATCTTTCCCCAGAGACATTCAGATGTTTATGTTTGGGATTTTTGCCAGACATATACAATGAAGGGAGAAAAAGCCAAGAAATTGTAATGTATTTACCTTAGGCAGATTCAAATGACGACCACAGATTGTAAACTGTGTAAGAACAGAAGTCAATCCAAGAAAGAGAACAATGTGTAGTGAAATCACTGAAGGGTAGTCCTTCTGATCTGAGCGGGTTTTTTTTTTTTTTCTTTTTCTTTTTCTTCTTAGTATACATGACCAGTTGTTCTCTTCTCTCTTTATTTTTTAAGGATGTCTGGAATGGCTGGTCTTTTTAGCATCTCTGGCAAGATTTGGGTGAGTAATCTTAAGTAAAACCATCACAATTATATTTGCAGAGAGGTTCTTAAGAATAAATGTGTAGCTTTTAGGCAAAAGGAAAATTCTGCTTTTCTCCTTAAGTTATAGAAATTGTGTTTACAAGGGCATAATTTGATCAGGGATCTGTCGCTACTTTGTCTAAGTCATATCTTTTTTTTTTGTATTGGAAATTAAAATTCTTATCAAGGCAAAAGGGCTTATATCATTTTATTTCATATATAGTATTTTAATTTTCTCATTGACAAATCTCCCTACAGATCAGATTATCTAAGTATGAAGGTATTAGTATATTTCAAAGGTCACTAAACGATAGCCTATGGGTAGGCCACTATTTTTGTAAATAAACCATTATTTGAACACAGCCATTTTCATTCAGTATTCATTATCTATGACTGCTTTTATATGATAGTGGTAGAGTTGAGTAGATGTTACTGACAGGGAGTTGTGGTTCATGAGCCTAAAATATGTCTTATCTGACCTTTTTATTGTTTGTGGACCTTTGCTGTATGTAATTATAAAATTTCACTTAGTTATTTCAGTGTACTGTTGTTCAGGTTAAAATGTTGAACCATTATATAACCTTGGCTATGTCTCTGACCTTTTGTTTCCCTTTCCTGTAGAGGAGGCTAAATTCAAAGATTGAATGAAAGTGCTCTGGAATTAATTATAGCTCAAAATACTTAAAAAATTCTTCAGACATGAATTCTTGTTTATGTTTTTTTCTAAACAATGATCATAGGTCATGGTATCGTATTTGAAACCTAACATTTAAAGAACTCAAGAAGACTCTGTTTCTTATACACATTTATATATAGTGAGGGAAATTTAAAAACAACCTTTCATATACCAGTTTCTTAGTTATATATTCTGCCTTGTTAGATATCTATTTCATGGGGGGTTTTTTGTTTTGTTTTTTTACAAGAAGCTAATCAGAGACTTGGATTCAGTCTTTTTGGTTAAACTTTAACTGTTTTTTTTGGCATTTTTAAAATCACATTCAACAATAATTAGTATTTTTCCTTTTTCTAAATAGTTTTAAGTTTCATAAGTTTTCCTTCTGTTGATTTATTAACATTGGTGTGAAGTTTAGTCAAGAGCTGAGAACTGTGAATTGCAATCCGAAAATTGAGAATAAGGGATTTTGCCTTTTGCAGTATGTTGACATTAAAGGTTGATTATCATATAGTCTAATAGATATTTGAGCCTTGTAGATTTGTTGGCTATCAGACAGCACTGAGAGCAAGATCTTAGCACAGAACCTATGATGTAAAAATTAATAGGTGAATTTATCCTCCAGGTTGAGAAAAAAATCATGACTTTCATTGATGCTAGATAAGAGTTTTACTTTGAAAGACTATATCAGGGAAGATATATAGTTAGTACATTCTACTAGCTCTTGACTTCTTATTTACAAGATTTATGATATTTGGCCTGATGAGGCCTAGTCCTTGATGTCCCAACAGTTCTTTCTGGTCCCCATTTCCAAATCTTGGCATAGTCTGGCTTTGTTGGCCTTACTTAGCAGTCTTAGCTGACTGTCCTGCCTGCTTAGTTATCTGACTTTTTCTTTTGCTCAGGAGTCTCTTCTCAGGGTCAAATATATAATTGTCTGGAATGTCATCTGTTTTTAACTTATGTCTAGATAAAATAAAACTGTAGTATTAACAATGAACAGAAGTAAAACTGTAGTATTAACAATGAACAGAAGAAGCACAGCACGTGGTGTGGGAGGGAGAGACAGAGAGATCATGGATGAGGCTAAAACAAAGTGTGGAAAGTCTCAGAGAAAGAAGATAAAAACATTTAAGCAAGAAAGAAGTAATGTGTCTAAAGCTAGAGAAGCAAGATTGGTGATGTCTGTCTATAGTCTTTTATCCTACTGAGATTTTGTGGATATGTATACAAATAGAAGTCAATTTTTCCTCAGCAGTCAACTTTCCTGCTTGACTAGCTGTTAGAAGTAAATTTTTCTGAAAAGAAAGATGCAACTTATTAATTGGGGGGAGCAAAACATTATGTATCACTTACATAGAAAAATGCCTAGACAGATCAAATAGATTCTTGACAATGATATTCTCTAATACTGGAATTCTGGCTGATTTTAAAGACCTGTTTTCTTCTGTACTCTCTAATTTTTCTGTAATGGAAAAAAAACAATAGAAAAAATGTCAATATCTAGAACATCAGATCCTACTAACCTAGTGATTCCTTAAAGTCCTTGAATTTCTGTTTTAGGAGTGAAGTCAACTTGCTTGTCTGACATTTTGGAGTTTAAAACTGGACCTTAGAATTCTAGGGTTGCCTGGCATTGTGATACCCACTTAGCTGAATTCCTATGAACTCAAAAGAGATTTTATTTGGTTTGCATTTGTCCTCCTTCAATTTGCATCAGCCTCCCCTATGTTCTTATTTGAAGTGAACCCTTAAGTAGGGCAGTTTCTTGAATAGCCTTTTTGCAGTTACCTTGAACCCTAGGATTTTTTTTTTTTTTTGTAACAAGGATTGAATCCCAGGGCAATTAACCACTGAGTCACATCCCCAACTTTTTACATTTTGAGACGGGGATTCACTAGTTTGCTTATAGCTCATTAAGTTGCCAGCTTTGAACCTGCGATCTTCCTGCCTTAGCCTGCTGAGCTGCTAGGACTATAGGCATGCTCCACCATGGCCAGTGGAACCCTAGGAATTTTTGATTGGTAATTTGTACCACAATGTGGCTAAGAGTAAATGATCATCAGTGTTCTCTCCATCAACAAATTCAAATTGTCTTTCTAATCCAATCATGAGGGCATTCACCTGTATACTAGATATCTTTGTGTAAACTCATAGAAGTAATCCTGTCCTCATGGATTATCTTGACATTCCACATGCTTCACTCATAAAAGGAGTCAATGAAGTCTAGGAGGTGAACAACTTGAAAAGTTTCTCAGAGAGGAGACATCCTCAAAGTCCAGAATTGACTCTGATTTTCTAAGGCAGTAGCAATATAAAAAATTTTTTAAACTTTTACTAAAACTTAAAATGATTCAACTTAATGCAATGTTAATACTCTGAAAGCAGTATAGGGTGATGTCATGAAGGTGATGTGAAGAAGATTGCATTTTAGGAAGCACTGCGGTTGGCTCTGGTTTCATAGTCAGGACTAGGGTTCTCCAGGCTGAGATTTTTTTGTCCGATGGCACATGTGTGGACAGAGATGTTCTAGTCTTTGTTTTCTTATCTCTCTTTATGATTGGCTACCATGCTTCAGAGGCACTATCCTTCTCCCTTTCAAAACACAAGCCATCTTTTTCCTCCTTGTGTTCATGTTTCTGAAGCTGTTTGCTTTCTCTGACATAGACTGTTCTTACCAGAACTATTTGAATGTTTAACATAGAATCTGTCACTTATGTTATATTTGATAACTACTTTTTGTAGTTATAATCATTAATCATTGCAGTCTTTATTATTTTATTTTCCTCTTCTGGTGATAGACAACAAGAATACTTTTTTGTTGTTGTTTTTTTTATTTTAAACAAGACTAATTATAAACTTAAAACGTAATTCTGTGGCACTTGTACAACATACATACTTTTGATAACTAGGTTTAGTGTTTAAATATTTAAAATATTGTTTGATCAAATTTGGTGAATTACTAAAACTAATATAGGATATAACTTATGTCTCCTAAAGGTCACTGTTATGAAAGGGCATAGACATGGCAAATTTTAGCTAAACTAAGGCATGCTACATCCTGGAGAGGACAATCTGTTTGATGAATAGCACCTTCTCTTTTGATTAGATTATCATAACAGAAAATTTAGTGTTTCATAAATATCCAAGGATGAGAATTAAAGGTCTTGCATGTTTACATTGGAGAATAATACTTTTCTAAAACTTGAGGGCTGGGGTTGTGGCTCAGTGGTAGTGCTGCTTGACTAGCATGTGGGAGGCACTGATTTTGATTCTCAGCACCACATATAAATAAATGAATAAAATAAAGGTCCATCAACATCTAAAAAATTAAAAAGAACTTGAAAACATTCCCTTGTGATTTACATAGCAGTGTCTCTTGTTTTACTGTGTTTCTCCCCCTCTTATAAAAATGTCTAGAATGTTTTATAGAACATTACAGTGAGACTGTGCCATTCACGAGATTCCTTTCATGGACTCTACAAGAGATTGCAAGTCTGTGTCTCATTGCAAATATTGGGGGTAGAACATGGAGGAGGATTGAGTACTCCACTACCACTGAGGAGTCCTTTCTGCCTGCTCACACATAGGGAAAATATTTTGGCAGTTCTGATCTGTGTGTGTGAGGGATCAAGCCTGTCCTTGACCTCAGAGTATATATCCTGTGATACAGGCAAGTTCTAAATCCAAAGACTCTCTGTTTTTCAGGGCCAATTCAGCTTTGAGTGAGACTGTGAAACATTGGTTTGGATGGGTGGATGCTCTGGGTGGCATTTTATTCAGCCTGTAATGGTTTAGACTTCTGGAGGGAGTCCTGGCCTTCATGGGGAAGGAAGGTTCTGCCTCTGACCATGGGGACCTTGGCCTGGTTCCTTAAATCCAGTCTGACCACTGATTGGTCTGTTCTCATTTACTCTGTTGTAGTGATGTTTTTCATTTGGTCTTCTCAACTCAATTATATATTTAGCCAGAAATTAGCCCTAAGTGAGATAACCTATACCATTATATATTATATTATCATACCCATCAGGTGACATTTGAGTGCATTTTCAGTAAATACTTCCTTGTAACGAGAACATGTAATGTTGAACAAGGACCAGGATTTTACACAAGTGAAAACTGGTATTTAAAGAAACATGGCTAAAGAAACAAGCATGAAAATCTAAAATTAAATCAAATAAGTGTTAGTCAGTTATTATTTTGGACACACATACATACACACATGCACACATGTACACATAGGCAAGGGGGACCAAAAAAATCTTTGATGATGGAAGAAAAAATGAGCAAAACAATTTTATCATAGTTCTATCCAGATCTTGAAGCAAAACTCCAGGTACTTAATATTGTGACTTATAACATTCACAGAGGGTCCCTAAAGCCATTATGAACTCAAAGTAAACAGATAAAGATTCATATCTACAGTTTGTGAAAACATAACTTGATTAATGTCTTTAGTAATAATTACCTGAAAAACCACAAGATGGCAGAGTTTCTTTAAGAAGCTCAAATCACTTCAAGAGTGGGTTGGTATAAGAATTGAAGTGAAGCTTATTACAATAAGATAATGTTTTGAGAATGCTAAAAAATGTTGGACTCAGAATGCAATGATTCAAAAGCAAATAACTTACTAAAATCTAAAAGTTAGAAATTTTCTTGAAAGTTGCAATAATTTATTTTGCAGAAAGAGCATAAGACACAGTCATCTAAAAATTTCAGTTTTTTTATTCCAATCACATAAATGAGATAAATCAGAAGACACAAAACAAGTTCCAGAATGCATCCCTGAGTCAGCACGGAGGCAGATTGACTTTTAGTATCTTAATTAGTTTCTTAATTTTTTGGCACATTTCAGAGCTTAATCATGTTGATTGCACTGAGTCATCAAGAAAAGCATAAATTGTCCAATAAACATTATGTTCTAAAGTAGGAAATGTATAATACCTTTTGAACTTACATTGAAAGAGTTTTAAACTACCCTTCATAAGCAATCGTCCTGACTAAGCACGGACTGATGACAAGTGCCATCAACAGAAGAAAGAGAGCAGCTTTACAAATTGTTTGTTTATATTTCATGTGATTAGTTCAAGCATTTGGTATCTTTTCCTTATTCAACAAGTGTTGATTGAATACTTTGATTACATGGTTAGTGCTTAAAATGTTTGCTGAGTCTTCATTTAGATCTATCAGATTATATGAGATCATTTAACCAACTTTTTTGTTTGCTTGTCTTTCATTCAGAATTAAGCCAGAGTAAAATGTATTATTAAATTGCCCAAAATAAACTAGGAAACCAATGGGAATGATTTAAATTTTGAGAAATATGAAATTAAACAGAAACTTGAATTCATTTTCATCTATTTTATCAGTTCTAGGCAGATCATTTAATCATTTTCTCTGTTTGTTGATTATATCTATATAACTTGGAACCATTTTACCCTGTGTCTAGAAATTGCTTGGATTATAGTTGATGGCAATGTAAGGATCAAAACAGATGACTAAATTACCATGGGGCAGCATTAGCTCTGCAACTTCGCATCTAAGTGGATCTTGACATTAAATGAGCAGGTTCATGTCTATACCCTGTGTGAGTTAGTAGGTAACTAGTTCCTAGCTAAGATTGTGTCTCTTCAAGTATTTGTGATTAGAGTCCCAGAGAATAGTAAGCATAAGATAATGTATGCTCTACTGAAAGACTAATAAAATCTCATTTGCTTAAAATAAATTAATCAAAAAATGTATTTTGTTCAGTATTGCATTTTATTACTTGTAGTAGTTAATAAAGTTGTTAAGGGGTAGAATAATAATTCTGATTTGAAAAAGTAAATATGGAGACAATTTTAAATAGTTGGTTCTGTAGTAATTTTTCTTTAAAAATTTCTAAAGGACCAAGAATTTCATTTTTTTAAAAGATGCCATGTTATGATTAAATACTGAATATATATAATTATTTATATGAGGAACTAAAACAAAACAAACAAAACAATCATGATCGAAGAAAGGACTAGCAAAAGAGTTTACTAGAGTTCTGTTCAGGTCCAGAGCTCTAGGGAAAGATAACTCTTTTTAGATACAACCTTTATAATTACTCTGAGTATTTCAATGTTGAAAAACTTGACTTACTCATTAAGAGTCATTTGGGTACATATTTGGGGTCATTTTGTGGAAAAATGTATGGATAGACCATTTGCAGGTTGGTGTTAGAAAAGATGATTAAAATATTTTTGGTCCTCATTACAAGTAATTTTTTTTCTTTTGTTTGCAGCATCTTCACAACTATTTCACAGTGACCCTTGGAATTCCTGCCTGGTGTTCTTATGTCTTTTTTGTCATTGCCACTTTGCTTTTTGGCCTCCTTATGGGTCTGGTAAGAGAGAAAACCAATCTTTTTCTTCTTTAAAGAAATGTGGATTTCCTGTAAAACTCAAAGGAGACTAAGAAAGAAAAAAACACAAAACATTCTTTTGTGTATAATCAAGTAATTAAATAGCATTTGGGAAGATAATGTTATTTAGCAAAATAATATGTTAATCAGAAATAGTAAAAACATCTTTAAGATCACATTTTTGTAAAATTCTAAAGTATGTAGAATTTTTGCCTTCAGAAATCTTTATTTTTTGTAGTTTTAAATCTTATCTTTAGGAATTAGTTGTACAATTTGAAAGAGCTGAATTCTTTTATCTCTTTTGAAATCATCTATTCCAGAATGGCCTTTTCACTAGCTTCTAGGATTATAGAACAAGCATTTCTCAATTGTTTTCACCTCTTAGCCACAGAGAGAATGTAGCACACTAGGGAAAAGGATGCTGCTGCTCAACAGAATCACTGAGACTGGCTCTAAATGGCCCAGAGAAGCAGCTGCCCCACATCTTGCCCACATTCCCTGGGGAATGACACATATGTTGTGAAGCCAGGATGTAAAGATGAGTAGTTCAGATAGAATAAATCCGAGATAAAACTGCTGAGTATAGGATTTCTCAAAATAGAAGAGTAGGAATTGCCTGAGTACTCAAAGGAAACAGCCTTTAAAATACTCTATTTCACCACCCACTTCCCAGAGAAGCTGCAGCCAGCAGAGGCTTTGTGACTCACTTGCTTTTTACAGTCAGGATTAGAGGCCAGAGCTTCAGATGTGAGTTTCAGCACTCTGTGACACCTCTGCCATTACCTGGGGCTAAAAGTCAAGGCCAGGCTTGCAGACATGTGAACTTGGTTCTGATGACTTTTGAGACATTCCTTCCTTTTATGTGTGTCTTCATAGTGCTAGGATGGCAAGATGTTTTCCATAAGAAATGTTCTCTATTATTTCTTCATTTAGCTTGACTATTGTATTTACTATTCCCCCCCACCCCAGTTTTAAAATATTGGAAATGAAAACAAGTCTGCTGATTTGATTTTTGTTTGTTTTCTTGATTGAGCCTGGTAATGGTAGAAGTATTTTATAAAATGTTATTTTTCACATTAAATAAAGAGCTCAGTTTTAGAATCAAGTATATATTCTGTATTTTTAACTAACATTGGAGTGATCTTTAGTTCATAGTCTATAGATCAAATGACTGTGACAGGATCACATTCTGTTGTCAGTAACTGGACTCTGAAGGGTGAAAGGCAGCAAAGTTTTAGAGAAGCAGAAAAGTCCTGCAGAACACAGGCTATGATCCAAATAGCTTAGGTCTAAAAGCTTTTCAGTTCAGATAGTTCATTCATGGAAAAAGAAGAGGCTGACTTGCTTTCCTCCTCTGCCATATCTATTTCTGTTGCCATATATAGGCACTATCCAAATTCTGGTGCTTAAGTAGATTATTTTTCTAGATGCTGATAACCAATGTCTAGCTTGGGGCCTTCCACAGAGGAAGGTCCCCAGTGTTAGAATCATGAATGTCAATAACTCTGTGAAAAAACTCCATCTTTCAATGCACCTCTTCATTTTGGAGCATGGCAATCTGCATCTAGGTAGAAGCCAAAACCTATTATGGTCATTGTAGAAGATGAAGAGAAAGGTACCATTCTCCTATAGACTGTTTCTGAAAGGTTTTCTAGACCAGAATTAGACCTTGAAGTGAAAGAATCTAATGAAAAGATGAGAGGATTTCCTCCCAGTTTCTGAGAAGGAAGACAACAGACCTTGGTGGTAGGCTAGCTCAAACCTGTCCTTTTGAGCACAAGGGAAAGCAGTTGGAATTTCAGGTTATTCAGCTAATGCAAGAAAGACAAAAGTGGGACTGGTCCCCTGTGAATCTTTTCTCCAGTACCAGCCTGCCCTCTAGTATCATAAATGCAAGTTTCTCCCTGTGGCATTGTTGGAAATGCTTGTATTGTCACTGAAAGATGTTTCTTCTTCACTTGCAATATATTAAGACTTTGTCCTTCCTGGTGAAATTAAGAAAGAAAAAAAGTCACAAGAGATATTATGTCCTGAAAATAGCTAGTAAACATATGAATATCACATTAAAAATGTAAGATCCTTAATCTCAGTCCTAACACATGGAAATGCTTCCTCTTTGCTGGTAAGGGTGATTTAATGGCTTGGAGCTTATTGTTCCCCAACCCACAAAGCCTTCCTGAAATGCACTGCCTTACTTCATGGGTCTCCTGAACCTGGCACTTGTGACTTTATCGAGATCCAGGAGCCTCAGGAATCTCACTGGCTGCAGCTTAGAGCAGCCACGCAGTGAATGTTGCCCATGCTGTCCACTCTATGCCCTGGCTCAATGCTTCCTCCATCCTTGATCCTTCTCCACTCCATACCTGGATGTAAGCTCTTTATCTCTTAAGTATCAGAGTGCTTTGTATGAGACTTATTTTCCATAAATATAGTTTTTTCCTCTTTGCAACACACGCCCCAGATATTAACATGCATGGTACCTTGAACCTAATGAACCAAATATCAAGTACAGTAATAAATGAATATATGCCTAGTAGTAATCCTGAACACAAAGTAGAGTACTCATTTGATGCTTTTAAAATTGAATCAAAAGGACTATGAATTGACTTATTTAAAATTTTAGAGCACATGTAAAACACTAGAATATGTAGCACTATTCCTGTTTTTAAAGACTGGACAATTATTCAAAAAGAAGTTGTAATCTAAGCATTAAATACAAGAAGAAATGTATAGCCTTCTAAATGGGCAGCTTTCTTTATCCTTGGATCTGTTCGTGTTGTGCTTTAAGGGCAGGGAAAATTGTACACGAAGAGAGTGGATCTCAATTTGTTCTGGCACCAGGTGCCTTATTGGATGTAGCCATTAGTATCATCAGTATGGCCATGGCAGATGGATCCTATCCTTAAGGAGCTTAGAGTTCATCAAGGAAAAAGACATGGTTATTACAATAGAAAATGACTTATGCTTCAGTCAAGGTCAGAGATGAAACTAATCCATCACTGCCTCAAATAGGATTTAGTTCACATTTTTTTAGTAGTTTTCTCACAGTTTGTCTGTAGAAATTGCAATGGTATTCATAAGAATTCCAGACCCTGAAATTTTCTTCCACTCAATTGAGGGTTACTTATTAGTGTGAGGCAGCTCAAATAAATACATAGTAGTTTTGTTTGTTCAAAATAGTGTTTTTAGGGAGACCATTTTAGAGTTAGCTTGTAGAGCCTGTTTTCTTATACCTGTTTCACTTATCTATTTATAGTAGACTCTCTGTAGGCTTTTGACTTTGTGGCCCTTGTCTAAATTATTGGTATTTTCCTGTGTTATGTCACATTTGAAAGGAGGAAATTCTTAATTATATCTTTATCTTTTTGAAGACTTTTGATCAGCTATTAATTATTAGTCTAAGAATGTCTGTTTATATATAGAAGCAAGGCCTAATTTTTATACCCTTTGGTAATAACTGTTATGTGAACTTACTATAAAATCACTTTTCTTCCTCCAGATCTTGGTGATAATATCAGAATGTTTCTATGTGCCACTTCCAAGGAATTTATCTGAACATTCTGGTAAGTCTGAAAAGCTCATATGTTAGAGTATGTTTAGAATTTTGTGGTGTTCTATGGTTTGGAATTCTTTTTGTGCTTCTTATACATAGGGGGTTTCCCCTGATTTTTTAGATGAACAAAATATCACCTTGACTATTTTCTTAAAATATGTTCTCTGAGTATATTTGAAAATAAAAAATCCTATTTCTCCTCTGTTAAGTTGGAGTATATTTTATATTGGTAATTGCTCTTTAGTTTTATGCCCTTTATTAATCAGTGGACAGCTTTTCCTCATTTGAATTGAACAATAGGAGGGAGAGAAGTGCACATTTATTGAGTCTCTACTGTGTGTTACTGTCCTTTAAGGCAGTATTCCTGAATCCTAGCAATGTTTCACACTGCTTCTGGAATTAAGTGGCCCTGGATTTGAATGTCTTTTTCATGTCTATTTTTTGAGACTTTGCATAAAGACTTTGTAATTGTTGAATTTTATTTGAAGTTTAGATAAAATATGTATTTTCATACTTGAAATTCTGGGGGCTTTGAGACTTCCATAGATAATTGAATAATATATGTGATCCTTAGAATTCTTAAATGTAACAGAAACCCAGTATAAAGCATCTTCAGGGGGGAACATGAAAATTTATTAGCTTACTTGTCTGAAAAGTCCAAGGGTGTTCTGGCATCATTCCCAGCCTGAGTGATGTTGGGTTTCTGTTTCCATGGTGCTCATTTAGTGGCTATCAGCAGTCCCAACTCACATCTTACCAGTTTAACCAGTTTCTAAGAAACAGGATGGCCTTTCTTCCTGACTCTCCTGGGGAGTATTCTGATTGGTTCAGCTCAAGTCACATTTCTGAACCAATTGCTATGACCAGTCAGCCACTGACCCTTTTAAAAGCTACAAAATACAGAGCATGAAGGAACCTTTGCTCTCTGCCCACATGTTCTGCCAAAGTCAACATAGTAACTGAAGGCCCTCAGGGAAGGAGAAGGCTAGGTAGGGGCTAAGATGCTAAGCAAAGAATTGTTCTGTATAATACCAAGAGCTTCAAGGTGGATAAAACTATCAATTCACCTGTTTTTTTCATTTCATAGATAAACACACTCAGTTGAATACTGAATTACCATCATTTATTTGGAGGATGTTTTTCCTGTCTTCTCTCTACAGAGCAGAATCAGAAGTCTGAGGAAGCTCACAGGGCTGAACAGTTGCAGGATGCAGAGGAGGAAAAAGATGATTCAAATGAAGAAGAAAACAAGGACAGCCTTGTTGATGATGAAGAAGAGAAAGAAGACCTTGGCGATGAGGATGAAGCAGAGGAGGAAGAGGAAGAGGACAATCTGCCAGGTGGTATGGATGAGGAGAAAAGTGAAGTCAGTGACCAAGGGCCCCTGAGAGAGGGCAGTGTGACTCAGGAAGAAGTTGAACCTGATGAGGCTGAAGAAGACATCACAGAGCAGCCCCATTCACCTGATACAGAAGTGGCAGAAGAAGCATTGAGGCAGCGCAAGAGTCAGAATGCCAGTAAGGGACCATAGATAGGTTCAGTGATGCAGTTTCCAACAGTGCAGTCCAAAAGAATATGTCAGCTTTCCTCTGGTCTGCAATTTAAACCAAATCCTTAATTTTTCCTGACTGAGAAAGCTTCTCCCTTAAAAGATGATCTCTAGTGGCATTGTATCATAGGCACAGGCCTCATGTACCCTAAGGACAATTTTTCAGTCATGACAATCGAGAGATAAAAACAACATGCTGTTATGATCTGTTTGGGGGATCTGGATGGGAACAAGTTCATTTAATTGGGGCTAGAGAGTCTTTACCAGAGGAGGCAACCCCCAATCATTAGCACCCTCTGGAGAAAAAGCTACAGATCCGTAAAATGAAGGCAAAGCAGCCTTTACTTCTGAGCATCCTCAAAGAATAGCATAAGTCTTGCTTCGTTTTCATGTGTTAACTATTTATTTTGTGAAACTGTAAGAAACATCATGCACCACAGTGCACAAATATTTGTTTAGAGATAGAAATCCAGAGGGCCCTGGATACAGTTTTAGAAAAGAGCTTGGAAATATGCCAGCTCTCTAAATCTCCTTTGTTATGTTTTATTTCTTATTTTTTATTTCTCCAACTTTTCTACTATGAGCCTGCAGACTACCCATACTCTTCACAGTTGTTTCTCACTTAGGAGATGCAGCAGCCAGGTCTGCTTCCACCATGTTTATTCTCATTTGAAGGTTTAGAAAATCTAACACAACTGATGAAGCCCTGACTGCCAGCTATCTCAAATGAAATGTTGTAACCTTTGGAGTTTCAAAAGGAAGTAGGGATTTTAAAGGACAGATTTTAAAACAATTTTTTGGCCAACCTGTAGTAGTTTTCTTTTTTCAGAAAGTTTCTTTAGCAATGCTTTATATTTTTTTGAAGCCAGAAGTGATCTAAGTCTTGCCCAGTACAGGGTAGYCTTGTGAAGAAAACTTGAATACTGTGTTGTTTTGTTTCCATCTCAGGGGGTTCCCTGGCTCTTGAAACACTTTAATAATAACTGGAAACTGTTTCTAGTTTCATTCACTTGATGTGCTTTTGGTGAAAAAATTAATGAAAGTATCAGGAAGTAAAAGATTTGATTTTGTTTCCATCTTCCTTAACTTCTAGAGAATTGTATCTTTGTAAATCTCTCACTCCTCAATCTACTATAAGTACCCAGGGAACCCAATTTCTTTTCAAAATCCATCCATCTACTTTTTTCTTACCTGATTTATGTCTTAGAATAAATTCATAAAATTAGATTCCAAGCATATGAAAGATGCTTAAAGTCAGGCTTATACCCCTTGGGTCCAGACAGAATAATGAGTACAGGTTTATGAAATTCAGAAAGTTTCTGTCATCTTTAAAAAGGAAATGCAGTCTATTTCTATCTGACTATTTATATAACCCTTTCCTTGTATTAACTGTGAACAACAGGGTTCACTGGTGGGGGAGGCTCTGAAACTCTCTACCCTCCTGTAGCTGATTGAAGCTCCTTTCAACTTTGCCCAAAGGAGGTTTTTACTAGGAGAACTGATTTTCAAAGATAGTTATTTTTCATCTTTCCAACTCAGCTAATAGTCTCTTCCCTAATATGCTGAAGTTTGTTAAAGTTGCTAGTAATTGTGTTCTTCAGACCATCACAGAATTGATGGACTGGGAGGAAGAATTTTGACCTGACCTGTGCCTGTTTCTTCCCCTCACTCCAGTTCCCACCCCTCTGACACACCTTCACCCAAAGTGCCATGGTTCTGATGGGGGCAGTTCTACTCCCTGACACCAGGACGCTTTTCTGGATACTCTCAAGCTAAGCTGTGCCTGTCCTCCTGTCACTGGATTTCTTTCTCTTACAAACTCAGCTGTGTAAACAAAGATTTCAAAGAATAGTGAGTTCAAGTTTAGAGTTAGGAAATAAGAAAGGTTTCATAGATTGGCTTTTCTATATAATGTCCCTCCCGCAAATAGAATTTTTTAAAGTGAAGTTTTCAACTAGAGGAAAGGCATGAGAAAGAAAACACGTTCTACTTTGTTTTTTTGTTTTTGTTGTTGTTTTTGTTATTTTTTTTTCTTAAGTGTAAGCCCAATTTACACTTGGACCTCAAATAATACCTAACTACATAATAAGAAAAATGTATTTTCTTTTTTAAAAATATAAAGTGGGAAGAAAAACATCTTGGGAAGAGGATCCAGTAAAAGTTTAAGTATTTATCTATAAGAACCATTTTTTCCTTTTTTTTTTAACATCCTAACAAAAGATAGCTTTTCTAGGAGGTGGCCTGATCCATACACATCTAATTTATTATCTTTTCACTTGAACCTCTAGGTTTGTTTTCAATACTTAATATAAACCTAAAGAAAAACATCAACCTAAACTTAAAGTCAGATCAGCATTTCAATTGTTTTTTTTTTTCTGTAGATAATCCAATGGTTAAATGCATGGAAAATGTGATTTTGATTTTAAAATTTTTTTAAAAAGTCATACTTCCCTCTATTGCAGTATCAGTTTGTTTAATCATACAATTGTGTTTTATTGCGAATTCAGAATAGGTGAATGAAGTAAAGTAATGATTGTGGAGTGTGGGTACATAGCACTTTATGTGCAGGTAGTTGGAGCAGGGTGCCTTGTCACTGATTAGAAGGAATGTGAAACTTCTAGTTACCCTATTGTTGATTTCTTTTATTATTCATCTCCTGCTAGATCTGCTAAAAGAAGCCTGCTTGGTTAGGGATTCACTGAAGCAATGCACAAGCAATTCCACTTTCTTTCCCTTTGAAGTATAATTGAATAGGTCAGGGATAGTGCCTGTTCAATTCACAGGGCATTGCACTGTTTGGCAAGTACTTGCAACATTATCTTGTGAATATGATCTCTGTAAGCTAAAAATAACTACCTATAAAAAGTAAACAGGCTTTGAATAGGTTGGCTTTTGCAGCTATGAAAGCTGCATTTTGATTTTTTATGATCCCAAACTCTGTTGATAGTTTGGAGGTTGCTACATGATTTGAGTGTATGTAAGTTTTCAGATCTGCATCCTGTACCTCCTTTGGGTTGGATGATAAAAAGTGCTATTTAAGGGAATACTTGCCATCCAACTTTGTTAGCAAGGCTTTTGGGACTTTAGCTGCTCTTTTGCTTACAGGATGGGAAACATTAAAGGGTCCAAATTAAAATAAAAAGGTAGAAAAGAAGAGTAAATTTCAGTGTAAAATCTTGAGCATGAAGTGAGAGAAAGAAGCGGATTGGTGCTTTTGCTAGTGTTTGTCAGTAGGTCCTTCATCTCAGTGTTGTAGTGTTATTTCTGTCAGTATTATACATGTGTGGTGAACCCATCCTGTCAAATATATCAGCATTTTGGAAGTTATTCATGTAAATCTTTTGTGCCAACAAAATGTTCCCTCTTGTAGTATCTCTTTACCTCAGTCTTACATTTTGATTCTCTTGAGAAGATTATAGCTTATCTTGCAAAAGCCAAATGTTATCAAGTCTGATGAAACCTGATGGGGCTGTTGTGAACAGATTTCTGAAAGTGGAGGTTTATTTGAAAACTTCAGCCCATGATATGGCCTTAGATGGCTTATTCTCAGTAAAATTTATGTAGACTGTGATGCTTTATATATGTGATATGTTTTCGGTATAGTTAGATCATATTTGTTAGTAGATACTTTCTTTGTGGAATGCAGTTGTTATACTAAAGACACTGCTTATTTGTACTGTCATGCATTATAAATTTGTTATGTATATTTTCTGTAATGGTATTGATTATTTTGCCGTTTCATTTAGTGTTCTGTTTATCCATGTATTCTTTGTTTCCTTAAAAAGCATCTTTAGCAAGTGAAATGAGAAATCAAGATATTGTTTCAAGCAGTACATTGCCTATATTATAGATCATCTGATACAGAATTGTACATAAACCTTAATCCTGTGTGGTTTCACTTTATTGTAAATTTTCATTTATGTCAAAACTCAATAGTGATAACTACATAAATGCAAAATAGTGTATTGCTTTTCATATAAATATTTTCACAAAACCATTTGCCTAGGCAGTTAAAAATATTACTTTGTTAAAAAAATTTTTTTCTTCTGTGTTTGCTCTTTATCTGTCTGTTCATTCCCCACCTCTCCCACCCCAAATCTGTAAAGACCAAATTATGTGCCATTTAGCTGCTCAAGGACGAGTTCTATGATTCAAGAGCTCATCATCATCATAGCCAATTGTATTGCCTTTACAAAATCATTCCACTCACCTCCCAGGTTCACTTTGTCCTGAGGTCTAGGGTGGCAGGACTGGAACCGATGGCAAATGATGCTGTGATTCCTCCAAGACACTGGACCGACCTGGTATCCTAAATAAGACATTTGGAAAACTCCATTCTACACCTGGCTTTCTTGCAACTATTGCAGTAAAATAGCACAAAGGAGGTGAGGCAATTCTTTAAACACATTCAGGCCTTAATGTGACTGGAGATTTTATTTTTCTCTTGGAAGATGATAGTGGGATATGTAGTAAGAAAGTTATTAAATTGGTATACCTCTAAATCCCTCCCTCAGAGTAACTAACTCTGAATCTTATTTCCTCCTACAGAGAAATATGTATGTTAGCTTTGTCTCAGCCTATATAAACTTGGTTATTCTTGGTAGAGATTCTTTGCCTACCCAGCGAGATAAATTCTGGCCCTTACTTTCTTTTTGAAGAGAAAGTTATGAATTCACTTTCTCTCTAATCTTTGCATGAGCTTTTCCTCCCATTTCAATATCTGATACTCTTATCAAAAATTTATAGATTTCTCAAATATTCTGTTTAGTAGACATTTGACTAATCATGTTAACTTAAATATTATCCTTTGGAAAGACTTCACCATCAGAATTCATTGTGTACTACTGTCACTTATGGAGACCTTTTCTAAAATTATTTGTTGTTGCTGCTTAGATAGAGACTATAGGATAGACCCAGAGAATATATGTGTTTTAGGACAATCTTAATTACTGAGCTGTTATTCTATGGAACTGCTCTTCAAACAAGTTCTCTGTGTATAAGTTCTAAGCATGAATCTCAGTCTAATAAATAGCATTAAAACCTAGCAGTTTATAAGTTGACCACACACTCGTAATTACTTTGGCCACTAACATTATTGTACAATGCATTCTTTAATACTTTTGATATCCTTGACTGTCAATAGAAGGGAAGGCTCTCTCCACTGGTGGAAAATAGCATACTACTGCAATAGTGGTGAGAGAGCCAGGTATAGAATGGAGTTTTCCAAATGTCTTGTTTGTTTAGGTCAGTCCATATATAACACCATGAGCCAAGCCATTGGATTATAATTTTGGCATCAAGACATTTGACCCTCTTTTCAAAGCATTTGTTCTGTAGACTCTGGAAAAGTAGGAATTATCTTCTAACAGAGGTAATTATCTTTTTAAATAGCATAAAGGAAGGTGATTTTTTTAACGTAGATATTGACATGTTTTAAAACTGTAGTTCTGCTCTTATAAGCCCCTGTCTTGTGATTCAAACATGGTCTTATTAGTAGGTCCAAGTAAATGACTTCAAGAAACTAGTTCATGGCTCTTCTTGGGCTAGCAGAAAGGTCTCATTCATAAAATGCATGAAGTGGTGATTTATGGCCCAACCCAAAAAGAGATTTTTCTGCATTGTATGTCAAAAACAGTTTTTGATCAAAGGAATTTTTAAATTGGTGTCCTCTAAGCAGCTAATAATGTGAATCTTCAAGGAGGAGTTTAATCTCTAGCATTTCCAAAACACACTTTTCAAGAAATATGGTAGAAAACATTTGAAAGCTCACTACAAAAGCTAGAGATCTTGGCTAAACTATAACTGGTATCTTTTTAAAGGCAAAGTTGATCTCAAAAAGAACATGAGGCTGAAAATTTACCATGAAACAAATAAACATGAGTTAGTACCAGGACTCTCCCAGTGCTGGTGATAATGGTAATGGTGGTGGTGGAAAGCTGTTGCCCTAGGAAATAGCAGAATATACGTTTTATTGGCCACATGGTTAGAGGATAAAAGGTGTTGGCTGCCTCAAGATGGGATATTGGAATTTAAATAATATCCCATTTACATACTTGGCAAAACAAGTCTGTTCACTAGCACAAGAAAACCTTTCTGGTGTATGTGTTGATACACAATAGGCTTCTCTAAGAAATTATAATCATGAGTGTGACCTTATAAAACTTGGAGTTTGAGATTAGTTCCATAGTCTCAAAGAAATTATAAGGCTAATGGAGCAGCAGGTAAGGTCATATAGGTGAAAGCAACAAAACTACTCTTTAAAACATCCCCATCCTGGCTTAAAGATTCACATTGGTAAAACCCTATTTAAGATGAATTCACAATCCAAAATTAATGTGTTAGCTTTTCTTATCTGTGACCAAAATAGCTGACAAGAGAAACTTAGAAGAGGAAAGAATTTAATTTTTTTTTTTGACATTTTGGTCAATTGTAGGTTGCCTACAACATTTGAGACCTGAGGTGAGGAAGGAGAGAGAGAGAGAGAGAGAGAAGGCCAGGACAAGTTACAGTCCCCCTAAGGAAATACCTCCAGGAACCAATATCTTTCAACCATGTTCTATCTGCCTACAGTTTTTATCACTACCCAGTGGTCATAGATCATCAGTGGATTAATCTACTGATGAAGTCAGCCCTCACATTTCAATCATTTCTCAAAAGTCCTACCTCTAAACATACCTGCATTGGGGACCCAAGTCTTCAATACATGATTCTTTGAGGACACTTCATATCCAAACCATAACAATTACAAATCACACAAGGAAGCAATTCATCAGACAGCCGATTAGACTTGTCTAAATTCTTGAGACAAAATTATTATAGAAACATCATAGTTTTTTTTTTTTTTTGGAAAAACATTAGAAACCTGAAAGAGTATGAAATATAAAAAGGTACTTTTTTTCAAAATAATGTATTTGAGTTTCATTCATCCTGTATATATTGGTTCAATACTTTTTATTTTATTATTATATGAACATATTACCCATAAGTTCTATTATTGTCAGGTATACACAGTGTTTCTATGTAACTGATCTTTTGAACATTTTGACTGAGACATTCCCTGGATGATGATGATGATGATGATGATGATGATGATAATCATGATTATTATTATCACGTTTGGGAGAAATACCATAATGTTAGAAATATATTCCTCAGGACTTTCCATGATTTGTTTTGGAAACGCTAGAAAGCAACATATATTTCCCTAGCAGGTGGGTAGCTGATGATTGAGAATAGACACTGGAACAGATCTTCCTGGGGTTGAATCTAGGTCCACAGCTTGCCATGGATCTGAATTTAAGCATGTTACCTAAAATTTCTGTGTCTCATATTTACAATGGTATTAATAGGAAACTTCTACATCATTAATCAGGAGGTAGAGGATTTTAACTAGCTCTTTCAATGAGAACAACATGAAAAATTGCTTTAGAAACAATATAAATATGCATGTATATATTTTRTATTATATGGCATTAGAGTCTACATCAAAGAGCTAGGGGTTATCCTGGCATTTGGGGCTATTTTTCTCCTGAGGGCATTTGCTCTTTCTAAGAGGAGAAATAGGGGAGTGTTGATAAGCTTAGGGATGCTTTTGAGAGTATTCCCTGGCTGAGGAGACGGATTGGTTAAGAGTGGAAGGGTTTATGAGACCCTTTCATTTGGGTTGGGTCTCTGAAACAAGTAATGTTAAGAATAAGGATGAACCAGAAATAAACAGATCCATCAGAGATCAACACTCAACCTTTATCTATCCAACTCCTGAAATCAGAATAAAATGATCTTGGAAGCAAGTGTAAATACTGGGAGGAAGCTAATTGGTGATGATGTGTTCTTAGGTTGGATGATTTKTTTTTTGTTTTTTGTTTTTTTTTTTTTTGCTATGAGGTAGGATGCCAGATACTAATTAAATTCTGAGGCTCACATAGCCCTATCTGTGGATTATTGCATTCAAAGGATTATAATCAGAAATTGAAAGTATAARTGATTTTCTAAATATTATTACAATTCTCTCTTTTTATTCCCTGAAGCTGTTCATTCTCCAAACTAGTGTATTGCTCATTATATTTTTTATTCTCTCCCTAAAAATTCTTTGTGGTATTCCCCCAAAGTATCAGCACCAATTGTTTTCTTCTCCTAGCCACTTTCCTCTTACTACTAACTCTCTTCTTTACTTTCTCTAAAGGAAGATCCTCTTTCCACAGATCCTTTSTGATATAGATATAAATATACTGTCTCTGTTTCTAAGGTTCATCTTGCTGTACAACAAAACCGTGGATCTCCAGGAAAGTACTAAATATCAAAGACAATGGCCAGAATTCTCCTTTATTGAGAGAGGAAAAGGGTAGGAGGCTTTCCATATCCATGTGTCCAAAGGACTTGTCCCTGTATACCTACTACATTTTCCATCTGTCAGCCCTTAT